GTAAAAAATAATAAAGAAGAAGAAGAAAAAAAAAAAAAAAAAACAGGCACCTGCATGTGTTTTTTGGCTACTGGGGAGGGGTGGCAACCCAGGTGTCCACGTCAGCTCAAGGGTGGCAAATGGCCACCGTGGCTACTCTTCAGGGCAGTGGGCCATGGGTAAGTCCCATCAGGGAGCATGCTCGGGGCTCTGTCCTGCCAGACACCAATGGGAATCAGTCCCCCTGCTGTCAGAAGGGGGCTGGCACTGTCCCTCCCTCCTCTGGGCCTGGCACCACACTCAGCCCTGGAACAGCTCTGCAGGGTCGGTAACACTCTTAGGCTCACTTCACTGCTAAGGAAACTGAGGCCCAGAGAGTCTCCACTGCCTGGTCCTGCAGCTCCAGTGGCCCCAACAGTCTTTCTGCTAAGGATTCTGGACTCACCATGCAAGTGACTGTGAGTGGTCATCTTCCGTATGTGTGCTTTTGTCCTAAAATGAGGCATCTGCCGGGTGTGATTAAAGATTTTACCGGCTTAACGCCAACCCAGGAAGGTCCATTAACGTGCTGTTAGTGTGGCGCCCTCAGAAGTGGAATCATCGTATGAGGGGCTGTGTGCATGCTTTGCCTCCACACAGAAGGGCCCCGCTTTGGTTCTCGATCTTGCCACATCTTCCCATTTCAAGCTGGCATCAGGCCCATCTACAGAAACCCTCTGATGTGCTGTGGGCTAGGAAAGAAACTGCACCCATTACAGTGATGTTTACGGAGAGTTCAGAGGTTCAGATGTAGTCTACAGCGAGGCCAAGAATCTATGGGTAACAAGGTCCCTCTAGGTGTTTCTGCTGCTGGGGTTCTGTGGAACACACTTTGAGAAACACTGAGAGGTGAAAGAGGCAAAGAGAAGGGGCACAGGAAGCTTCTGCAATGACCTTGAACCTGAGGCTGCAGGTAAGTTTACAGGGGCCAAAGGGTGGCACTCACAGTAACTCCAAGCTACATGTAATCTGTTCTGTCTCAGAGACAAGAAAATGGAGGATAGGGTTCTCTGGTGGTGTAGTGGTTAAGGCACTGGCTGCTAAGCAGGTCAGTGGTTCAAACCTACCAGCTGCTCCGTAGAAGATGAGGGTCCGCTTCCGTGAAGATTGACAGCCTTGGAAACCCAGTGGGTCACTGTAAGTTGGAATCGACTCAATGGCAATGAGTTTTGTTTTCTTTTTCTTTTTGCAGGGTTAAATCACTTACCCAAGGCCCATGGCTATGAGGCAGGGGAGGCAGATCCATCCCAGACAGCCAGACTCCAGAACATTGTCAGCTCTACCACGCTCCAATGATGACAAGGACGATTATCGACAGCTTGCCCATAAGAAGCCCTCTACACACACTGTTTCCTAGAACAACCCACAAGCTAGACCCATTTCACAGATACGAGGAAAGGGAGGAGCTGAGAAGCCAGGTGATTTACAGGAGGTTACAAAGCTGGGATCCGAAATCGAATGCTGGAACTCAGAGGAACCACCACTTCACAGCACAGTCACCCGGCAGCCTTCCCTATACCACCACTTCCCTTCTCCACTTATCAGATACCAGGGGTTCTCAGCCTAGGGTCACCTTGCTCCGAGATTATTTTCGGTTATCAGGACTGGTGGGGGAAGGGGGTGCTGCTAGCATCTAATGGGTAGAAACAAAAGATGCTGTTACGCATCGTAAATGAACAGGACACCCCACAACAAAGAATGATCTAGTCCAAGGTATCAATAGTGTCAAGGCTGAGAAACCTTGAGATAACCCAACTTCAAACACAGGCACATGCCTGCGCGCATACACAGACACACACACATACACACACACACACACACACACACACTACAACATCCAGACTCCCATCTTACATGGGCTCTCTGGTGGCACAATGGTTAAGCGCTCTGCTACAAACCAAAAACCCTAGCGATTCAAACCCAATCAGTCATCACCTCCACAGGAGAAAGACTGGTGATCTACGTCTGAAAGCTAACAGCCAAGGAAACCCTATGGGGCAGTTCTATTCCATCCCCAGGGGTCACTGTGACTCAGAATCAATTCAACGACACCCAAAAACAACGACGACGGAAAAGGGGAAGAGTGGAGAAGAAGAAAAGCAAGCCCCACCCACAAAAGTACCGCAGCCACCATTAACGTCATATTTATTGTTATTTAGCTGCTCAGGAAAACATATACAGGTATATACAATATGCATGAATACAGAAGACTGCACTTTACATATTTTTTTAAAAAAAGAAAGAAAAAAAATAACACTCAATTTCATGAGCTATTGTCACAGTCTTCCAACCAAGCATTTCAGAAATGAATTTTTTTTTTAAAGAGTCAAAAAAGATTACAGGATTGCTTAACACACAGCAGAGTTAAGTTTTCATATTTTACATGTGCAATAAACATTTTCATTTCCCTTCCAGAAGACTTTGCAATGCAGTACCGATTACCAGTGTTCGGAGTCTTGTGTGTTGGGTGTGTTTTTAATTTGCTTTGATTCTTTCCATTAAACCAAATTTAATGAAATAACATCCTTTTGCTTAAGGCTATTTTTAAAGCTGTTCCCTGCTGGGGTCGTGAGGAGCGAGAACGTTGACAACAACGTCAGGGGTTCCCGAGGTTGCTAGGACCGTGAGCTGATGGCCAAATGGTGAAGAACTCAACACTGGGCTAGTCAGAGAGAGAAGTTGAGACACTGTGCTCCCCGGCCTTAAGCAATTAAGAAAAAAAAATCATTCCTGTTTCCAAACTAAGACGGTGACGCTCTCCAAACAGCTGTACACTGGGGAACCAGAAGGGGCACCTTTTCTAGCAGGAAAAGGCCTACAATATGGTTGACACCCTACCCCCTGCAGTGGACAGTGGGAAATTTTCCTCCCCTTTTCTTTCACTGGGTACCAGAACACCAGGAACCATCAGCGCGCCCTGTTCTCAAGGAGAAATTTAATTCATGCCACCTGCAGGATGGGGTCTGCCCCTGGTCAGACTGTGCACGCAAGAGTGACAGACTGTCCAAATGCAGACCTAAGCCCACTGGGCCAGCTGAAGGAACAAAGAGGCAGACAAAGGGGAAGAGGGAGGTTTTCCTGGACTCTCTTCTCCCGTGGCTGAAAAGTTCTTTGAAATCAACAAAGTGTTGTGTGAGCTCACCCAAGCCTTCTGGTCCCCTGCTAAAAGCAGCCCGACCTACAGACCTTGGGGACCTGGGGGGAAAGAGGGACTCAACATGGAGCATTCAGTTAAGACATTGCTTGTCAACAAAAATCGAAATAAAATCTGAGCTGTCGATTTGGTTGAAGCGAGATCAGTCACTTCTGGTCTGACCTACCCTGGAAACTACCTGTCCCCCACTGCCCCCATGAGCCATCAAAGCCCCCTGCAGACATCAAGAGCGCCCAAAGGTGTCTGCCCCTGGCCACACCGGGGTGCCACAGCTCTGGGAACAGCTCGGCTGAGCCCCTGAGCCCTCCTCCCCGCAGCCCTGCTCACCCAGCCACCCCCTCATCTTTGTTCCAAGGGAGAAGTTATTCCTTCGTGAGGTGTGTGGGACGCGGCTCTGGGTTTGCAAAAGGTAAGATTAAATCAAAACGCAGTGTGGGGTGGCAGGGGGACTCCAGGGTTTAAAAAAAAAAAATAAAAGGCCCAGAAATCCAAAGCATTACTTCTCTTCTCTTTCCCTTCCACCTATCCCTCAGGAGTCTGCAATTCCCTGTAAACATATACACTCAGGCTCGGGAGGGAGCGGGAGGTGGGGCTTTTGCAGGCTATGCCCAGGAATCCTTCGAATGAGCCCCTCGAAAAATGCTGACCGAGGCCACATCCCTCCCAAGGACGGGCAGCTCTGTGGATTGCCCAGATTGGGGGGAAATGGGAGAGGTGAGGGAGAGACACCCAGACCCTCCTTCTTCTCCTGGGCTGTAACAGCTGTCAGGAAAGGTCAAAGGCCAAGAATTCACCCTCCTCCCAACTTCAGGGCTCAAGACAGGAGCCAGGAGCCCCCAGAGACCGAGCTGGACGGGCACCGTGTCCCACGCAGACCAAGGCTACTAATGTAGCATGAAAATTCAGGGCCCAAGCGTTTGCTTGGAGGCCCGGAAAAGGGAACTGTGGAACATTCCGGCTCCTTCTCACAGAGCCAAAGGGCCGTGGTGTCACCCCCACTCCAGAGAAGAAGTCATTTCCAGCAGGAGAAGCGAGAATGGAGCTGAAGGCTGTGCGTGTGTTTGTAGGAATGAAAATGTACCTATTTTCTTAGAGAACAGACAAAACAAAATTCCAGGCGGAATACCTAAAGGGGCATTCATTATTTGGCTCCTGCCTGACTGATGACAGTTGGGTGTCAATATATAAAATTGTGATGACAATTTGACTTTCACCGGCAATATTCCAGAACTACTAATCTTCAGGATTTCTACTTTAATAAGCAGTGAACAGAAGAAAAAAAAGAAAAAAGAAAAGCATGGGAGGAAAGAAAGAAGTAGAAGAATCAAAAAAAAAAAAAAAGGAATAAAATTAAAAGGAAAGCAACTCTTGTCTTATTATGAAATAACAATACTTGGACATACAGCAGCATGAAAATAAAACAAGGAAAGAGGTCATCTACAAAAATGTATGCCAAGATTACAGAAAAACAGGGAATTATCTAGCAGGAAAAGGGCTTCAGCAAAAGTTTGCTAACTGCAGAAGGGTTAACACTGGTAACATACTGTGGCAGACAATTTTCTTTTTTTAAAAAAATTTTTGAGGTTTTTTCTTTTCCCCCCCCTTTAAATTAACCCTTTCCGGTCCATATGCCACTAAGCAGGTACCAACCTAGAAAAAAAAACATCATCCACTCAGCAATAGTGGCCCTTTCAAATGAATAAGGGGGGGGGGGCAGGGGCAGGCTGGGAGGAGGAAGAAAGGGGAGGGGGAGAGAGAGACAGAGAGAAAGAGAGAGAGAGAGAGAGGAGGAGGAGGGTCTGTGGGGGAGGGGTGTTTCTCTTCGAATTCAAGTCAGGGCGGCCACGAATGTCCCAAATCTATTGGAGATGTCGGAGTGAAGGGACCGCCAGGTGGGCACAGAGGCACGGGCCTTGGCATCGCCCACGTCGTCTGTGCAGTGGACAGACAGGCACTGCAAGTGGCTGCCGGGCTGGGTCGCCGAAGCCTTGTTCGTGGGGAGGTCGTGGGCTGCCAAGGAAGAAGGAAGAGATGGCGTTAGTGACATGCTCAGCACTAAGTGGGGGACACTAAGGGGGGAAGGGACGCAGAGAGGCAGAGGCAGGAGGGAGAGGCAGCGTCCAGGCCCGCTTTTCACGGCTAGAGATGATCTGAGGGGAGATAGAGATGCTTGGTTCAAATTCCCCTGCTCTTACTGCCTTTGACTTGGTTGAGAGGTTTCTACTGACAGAAGACCCCCTGCTGGGCCTCCTTTTTTTTTTTTTTTTTTTTCTCCTTGGGTGATTGGAGAGCTGAGCAGGATAAACGGACAGTCTACCCGTCTCTGATGGATCAGAGTTCTGGGAGACATTTCAAGTGAAGAGGAAGGAAAGATGGACAGGACCTGAAGTAGGTCAGGGAAGGCTTCTTGGAGGAGAGGTATTTAAGCTGGGTACTGGTGGATGTGTAGGAGTTTGCTAGATGCGGTGAAGCAGTAGAGGGCAGGCTTGCTCTGAACACAGCCTGTTCTCTTTCATCTTCTTGATAGACAGTTGCTACGTGTTGGGAACATTCTCGAACAGTGCCAAAACGTACACTAACCCAGAAGGTAGGGATGGTCATCTCCATTTTAAGAAAACTGAGACCACAGAAGGGAAATGACTT